GTCTCGGCACGATACACCTCCCATTGACGCTAGTCAGCCACGACGGGAGAGAGAACAAAACACGAACAATTGAATTCTCTGTAAGCCATCACCCAACGGAACAAAATATACTGTTCGGGCGTCCAACACTCTACGAGCTACAGGTCGTGCCGTCAACAATTCACGGCACAGTCAAATTTGGCACAAGGGTCGGATCAGCAACCATCGTCGCCGATGCCCCGTAGAGACAAACGTGTCACCATATCATGGCGGTAGCAGACCTGGTCAGCGCCTCCAAAATGCAAAGAAGACCACCCGCTAGAAAAGCATGTCATAGACAATGAACAACCCGAACAAGCAACAAAAATCGGAGCTAACCTATCGGCGGAAACCAAAGCCCAACTAGTCGCGCTACTAACACGGTTCGTCGGGGTCTTCGCATGGCAACTCGCAGATATGGCAGGTGTAGACCGAGGGATCATCGAACACAACCTTAGCATCTTACCGGGCAGTGCTCCGATTAAACAAAAAAGGAAGGGGCAGGTGAGTGATAGAAACAAAGCGATTAATGAAGAAGTTTTGAAACTCGTGGCTGCGGGCATCCTCCGAGAAGCAATGTTCCCTACATGGATAGAAAACCCGGTAATGGTAAAGAAGCATGATGACTCGTGGCGGATGTGCATCGACTACTCCGACTTGAACAACGCATGCCCAAAAGACCACTACCCCCTCCCCGAAATCGACCAAAAGGTCGAATCCCTGGAAGGTTTCCAACTCAATTGCTTTCTTGACGCCTACAAAGGCTACCACCAAGTCCATATGTGGCGAAAATACGAGGAAAAGACAACTTTCCACACCCATCGAGGCACGTTCTGCTACCAGAAGATGCTATTTGGCCTTAAGAACGTCGGGGAAACATATCAGCACCTAATGGATAAAGCCTTAAGGTCTATGTCGACGACATGGTCATTAAAAGTCGTAGTAAAGTAACATTGATCTACGATGTGGAAGAGACCCTCCAGACGCTAACACAAGCCCAGATGAAGCTTAACCTGGGAAAATGAACTTTCGGAGTTGAAGAGGGCCAGTTCCTAGGATACCAAATAACTAAAGAGGGAATCAAGCCAAATCAGGTCAAAATCCTGGAATTCATCGATTCCAAGATCCCGCACAATATAAAAGGAGTCCAAGAAATCAACGGGAGGCTAACCGCGCTAGGCAGGTTCGTCGCCAAGTCAGCAGAAAAAGCCCTACCGCTCTTCCAAACTCTGAAAAGGGTGTGTTTACAAGAACCACTTCAAATGGAAGAAGGAGGCCGACGCAGCCATCCAATGCTTAAATGGGGCCCTACGTCAATTGCCAACAATGGCAAGCCTCCTCCCAGGCGAAACCCTACAAGTATACCTCGCGGCAGCTAATGAAGCCATCTCGTCGGTCCTGGCAGTATAGAGAAACAAGAAGCAGTCGCCAATACATTTCGTGAGCACGGCACTGCTAGGTCCCGAAACCAATTACCCCATCCTGGAAAAACTAGTACTACACTAATCTACATGGCCAGAGGCCTACATCGCTTCTTTCAGGCGCACAAAATCGAAGTGCTGACCAACCACCCGATAAAATAGGTCCTACTGCGACCCGAAAAGTCAGGATGACCGGCGAAATGGGCAATAGAGCTGGAGGAACACGACATAGAATACCGGCCGCGAACCAGTATCAAGGCCCAGGCCTTAGCAGACTTCCTGGTAGAAATACCAGACACGTTTAGGTGAATACCAAAGGCCTTACCTGCAGACCCATTGGAGCCCAAAGCAAGCAAAAACGTATGGGAACTACACACCGATGGTGCTGCGAGTAAGGAGGGTTCGGGCGCAGGCCTGATTCTTAAAAACCCTGGGGGGACGAAATAACATACACCCTAAGATTCGATTTTCATGGTTCAAACAATGAGGCCGAATACGAAGCGCTCCCTGCGGGCTTTTGCTTGGCGCATGAAGTAGGGGCGAAACACCTCCGAGCGTTTAGCGATTCGCTGCTAATAACAAACCAGGTAAATGACACTTACGAAGCCAAAGATCGGAGAATGCAAAGATACCTGGAAAAGATGTTGCAGCTAGCACACTCGTTTAACAGCTTCGAAATCAAACAAATACCATGGGGGAAGAATACAAGAGCCGACGCTCTTAGTAAATTGGCCTCAACGTCCTTCGACCATTTAACCAAGAAGGTGCTGGTAGAAGTACTCGGAGAAAGGAGCATCGACAACAAGCAAGTCGATGTCGTGACAGAACTTCCAGACTGGACTAAACCATACCTAGATTACTTGCATCATGGGATCCTCCTAGATGACCCGGAAGAGGCCAGGCAGATAAAAATCAAAGCCCCCCGGTTCGCGGTGAAAGGCGCGCAACTGTACAAAAGGGGTATCTAGTGATGGGTTTTGAGCACTATAACAATCCTATGGTGCACATACAACCCTAAATGCTTTGGATCTAAGTTTTCTCAAATTATACATGCAATTTCATTATATCCAAAGCATAAACCCTAGCTACCATACAGTTGGAGATTTACAACATAAAAACTAGTTAGATGAATACCTCTTTGTTGTAGCTTGTAGTTCTTGGCCTTTCAAAAGCTTAGTACCTCAAATGTGATACCTCTAATAAGTCACAAACACCAAAAGCAAAAGGAGGCCTATGAGAGAGAGGTTAGGAAGCACCAAAATCATCTAGGGTTTCACCTTGGAAATGATTGGCCGATTTTGGGAAGGCTAGGGGTTCAATTTATAGTGTGGAATCCTTAGGGTTTCTTACATAAATCCTAATTTACTTAAGCCTTTAAGTATTCCAATAATCCATATGATATGCCCTTTGGACTAAATCTTCATGGACTCTCACATAGATTTAGTCCATCCCTAATCAACATGGATCGTTAGCCCAAACTATAAGTATTACTGATTTACCTAATCAGTCCCTGTAAATTTAATCAGTCTCTTTTGATCACTAAATTAATTCCAAATTAATTCTTGATCAATACTAATTAAATAATATGATTTCTCAATTAATATATTATTCATATAATATATTAATAAATCACAAATAACCTCTTTCTCAAAAATCCATCCTATCAAATTGCTCCGGTGAAGGCAACCCAAAAGGACCATGCTACTATCGGGTCAACTACATACCAATTATAGTTATGGGCTTAGAAACCTAATCCAACATCTAGCATCGTGGCTCAGATGAATCTCGCGCAACGAAGGCCAAGCTCTCCTAGAAGAAAGCCACTCAGGAGAGACGGGAGCGCATGAGGGGGCGCGAGCGCTTACAAGGAAAATACTACGCCTAGGGGTATACTGGCCCAACATGTATAAGGACGTGGCAGGAGTCACGAAGAAATTCTCGGAGTGCCAAGCATTCTCCCCATTCCAGAACCTACTAGCGACAACCATGACCAACATCAGCAGTCCATGGCCTTTCCTCCAATGGGGCATCGATATCGTGGGACCATTCCCAACCAGCCCTGGGGGGATTACAGTTGAGCAGAATGGTGGATTGAAGCAGTTTGGAACTCCATTTACGAAGTGGATTAAAGCGGAGCCTTTGGCCACAATCACGGGTAAACAGATGATTAGATTCATGTGGAAGAACATCCTGACCCCGGTTTGGAACTCCCAGGGTCCTGATAAGTGATAACGGCACCCAGTTTGAGGATAGCCCCTTCAAATAATGGTGCGGGGAGAAGAAAATTTACCGTCGCTTTACCTCAGTCGCGCAGCCCCAGGTGAACGAACAAACCGAAATATCAATACGACCATCATGGACGGACTTAAAAAACGCATAATAAAAACAAAGGGGGCCTGGACCGAAGAGTTGCCAACGGTGTTGTGCTCATACCGCACCACCGGGAGGTCATGAATTGGAGAAACACCCTTCAGTCTAACATACGGCACGGAAGTGGTGCTCCCGCTCGAGATTCTGAGTGAATCCCGATGGGTGATGCACTTTGACACAAACTCGAACGAGGAAGAGCGACGGAAAGATCTGGATATGCTAGACGCGAAGCAGCCTACAAAGCCCGCACGGAAAACTTCTACAATAAACGGGTGCGAGCAAAAAACTTCAAAATCGGAGAATGGGTGCTGAGAAAGAACGAGGCCAACCACTCGGAGCCACAGGACAAGCTGAGCACGAACTGGGAAGGCCCGTACAAAGTAGCGGAGACGCACCGAGTCGCAGCATACACATTGGAAGCACAAGACGGAAGACCAATACCCCGAACATGGGACGCATGCAACCTACGCCACTTTTACTTATAAAACAACTGGCAAATAGTATAGCAAAAAAAGGGCGAGACAATGTCACTCGAACTTTTAGCCTCGGGGCTACACCCAAGTCAAAGTGACAACACGTAAACCTTCGAGATTTTCTCCAAGCACTTTCCAATTAGTAAAGTTTTGCAAGAAAATAGGACCGATTTTACTCATCAACATATATGCATACGCACGCAGATGCAAATATAAAAACCTAAAACAAAAAAGAAGGGATGCACGAATTCGCCAAACGGAATCACGGGCTGATCACCCACACCGTTTAGGCGAACCAAATCGCCAACATGCAACCACAAATCTCGAAAAGAGATGATTCCTCAGGGGACACATCGGTTCGGCCAAACAACAAGGCCTCTAAGCTGTCAAACCAGACGTATTCAAAGGGTATGAAGGATCATAACCTTCCCCTAAAAATGAAAATCTAACAGAAGCAGGTCCAGGGAGCCTCGAGGTGACGACCTCGGCTCACCTTAAGCGACCAAAAAAGGATGGTGGTAGGTCACCCGACTTAGGTCCGAAGTCCAGGCCTACAAAATACTCTCCAGGGAGACGCTTCCCAGATTCAAAGGAAAACATGATGAAATTTCAAAAACATACAAACACTAAACACTGAAAGCATCTTGTGGTGTCAAACAAACAACAACAAGCGTACAAAAAACATCCAGTAAAAACATCAACCCTAACAAGATTGCGTTCACACGCTGCCCTCAACGTCGTCGTATGGAACAGCGTCCTCCTCCTCATAACACAATTCGTGGAGATCAGCAAGACCAAGCTTGGCCAGTCTGAGATAAGATGCGAAGTCCGTCTCAGCGAAAGCCCTAATGGCAGCGTGCATGGCGTCAGTAGACTGAGCCACGGCGCCCGGTTCGGATGGGTCGGAGCCGCTACCAGAGGACAATACCAGAGTCGCCTGTTTTCCCCTCTCCACACCAGCAACTACACACGCGGCCTTCACACGGAAAATCCCGAGCACAAACTCACTTCTCTCGACAACACGATCCACTACGTGGACCACCCCCTTTCGAACAACCCAAGACACACCGGTCTCCAGGACTTTCCTCCTCGAGACCTCGGCTGCGAGCTCACTGCCTCGCAGCGCCAAACGTTCCACTAATGTCGCTTTCTCCGTAGCCAGAACTTGGACCTGCTGATGTAGGCGGTTGACCTCCCCATCTAGAATCGCCACCTAATCCTCATCAATGGTTTTCTCCCCAGATAGCATAAGGTAGCGTTCATCGAACTTACGCCGCTCATCCTCAAGGAGCCAGACCTTCTCTGCGAGCTCGTTGTGCTCCGATTTAACGAGAGCCAACTCCACCCGGTCAGCCTCGATGTAACGAAGACAGCCGACATCAGCCACCAAATAAGGATCAACCTGAGCAGCGGCGTACTGAAGATCATCCGCCATATGAGAATAAGAAACGACATCAAGGGCCTCCAGGGTAGCAGAAGGAAATGCATGATGGCACCATTCACTAGCAGGACCCTGTTCCGATAGAAGAGAACTGGGTGTACGGTTCCACCCTGGGAGATAGACACCACGGGCGCCCGAAGAGGAAGGCACCACCTTCGACGGGACGTTATTCGAAGCCGAGGGTGAGGTGGAGCGACCCCCCGCAATGATTGTTTTCCCTCGACGGTGTGAACAAACCGCCTCTGCCGCTGACAACTCATCACCATCAACAATCTCGATAACAACATGTGACGTAGCGAGAAAAGGTTCGATGTTGCGTTTCCTGCGTAAGCGTCGGCCAATAGTATCACCACTAACATCCTCCCCAAGGGCAGAATCTACAACAACAGACCGACGACGGGAGACAGGTGAGGCCTCGCATTTGGGAACAGCCCCGACAGTAGCTGGAGCAAGTAGCGCCTCCACTAGGGAAACCTCGGGATACTGGAGATCACCCCCAAAATTCCCTCGTAATACTTGTTCGAGAGACAAAAGCTTCTCGTCACCTACAATAACCACAACGTAAGACCCTTTTTAAAATGAAAAACGAAGAAAAAAAAGGGAGAAACATGAGACAAGCAAAGAGGGGGGGGGGAGGAAGGTAACACTTACCACCGTTACTCACAAAAAACTGAGGTATCTTCCCATGTGAACGCCAATCAGCGCTCATCCCGGCTGCCGTCAATATGCAGTCCGGCCAGTCCTCGCTGTCAAAACAAATTCCCCTCAGTGTGTGGGACACAGATAAACTGACACCCGACAGATGGGGCGGTCCGAAGCCATGGTCACACGAGGATAGCCTGCACCAACCAAATCACTGTTGATCCACAACCATCGATTCTGCCAGTTTTTCCATGGTGCTTTCTGGTTAACTATAAAGGAATGTGTGTTGCAGCGCTGAGAAAAAGTGTAAACGCTTGAATGAGTCGACGAATTAAAGAAAGACTGGAACGCTTGAAAACGAGGAACTACACCAACACCCGACACCCCAACTCGAACCCAATTATCTTGTTCACGACGTTTGGGGTAAGACCGTGAACAGAAAAACCATACTCCTGCATGACTTCATCGAAGAAGTCGGAAACGGGAAGACGGAACCCGACCTCGAAAATCGCCACCGAAATACCGACCTTCCTGGCCGACGGTTGATAAATAGTAGATCCCTCCGACGGGAACTGGACCCCCTGCCCAGGCATAAACCCAAACCGGAACTGAAGAGTCTCGAACTCCGCGGGTGTAGGGACAATTCCAGATCTAATGGAAGCCATCGAAAACCAGAAAGGAAAAATGTAGGAGAAAAGAGAAACGACGAAGAAGGTTGACACGACAGATTATGGAGAGAAGAAGCACGTAAGTGTTCCTAGAAACAGGGTACCTATATAAACATTTCAAAAAGAATAAAAGAGGGAGAAAACTGAAACGACACTTTTTCGACAAACGGCTGTATTACGATGGAAACATCTCGTGAATCGCTCACATCCGACGCGTGTCCAAACCTAAGCTAGAACTACTCAGCTACCCTAAGCAAACGCTGGTGTCTACTAGCCCGGGGGACTTGTTGACGTACCCCACCGGGAATCCGTCAAATACAACGGAGCCGTCAGTCCGACAAACGGATCCCAACGATGAACAACTAACTTCGGGTCCTTGTGCTCGCTCCTGCCCTCGCGCTCCTGTGCTTATTCCTTAGTGCCCAAGCATCAAGGCCAGAGTCGAGACAAAACAGTACCAACCCATTCGCAGGGCGACAAGTGTGGTCCCTAGAGCATCACACCTGGCAAACCTATGCCAATGGCAGGCAACCGCTTGAGGAACACGATTCACTAACCAGAGTTCACCTGGCTCTGACAGAACCTGAAAAAGCAGAAAGTACTGTCCTGGATCTGTCCCCCCTTCGCCACAGATTTAAAAGACACGCTTCTCCGCCAAGAGAAGGGTCAAGATCTAAAACCCTTTAGCACTCTCTTTATGCTTTAAACTCACTCTCTCTCAGACCCTCACTGACTTGATCGTCGGAACCTCGTTCCGGGACAACCTCCCAGACGACGATTGACGATCCTATTTTCTTTGTTGTGATTCTCAGACTCTTCATTTCCACAACTCGGAAAGACGGAGTCAAGACGGTGACATATCACAACAATTATGAGGTTTAATCGTAACATAATGCTTGAAACCTTGTTCTTGAATAACGATTAGTTTGTACTGAAATCCCTCTTGAAAACTTTTCATTGCACTCAAATCCCTCTTGAAAACTTTCACCTCTACTACTAGTTGAAAGACTTTTTTTCTTTTTTGAAAGTTTATAGGTTTATTATTCTTTGTGACGGGTTCGGTTGCGTAACGAAATAGGTTCATATATCGGAGATGAGGGTGTAACATGCATACCTTAAAATGGTATATTTGTGTGTGCATTCATTATCCAACCATTCAATTCTATATTCAATTTTTTCAAAATCAGAAAGACATGTACAAAAAGGGAAATCTTTAGAAAAGTCCCAATATTTACGGAAAAGTTACACTTTAGTCCCAAAAATTTTTTTTGAACGAAAAAGTCCTGAAAACCGGCAAAAAATTTACAGTTTGACCCTTTTTGACCAGTTGAAACCTGTACCAAATTAATTTGGGACTATTTAATAAACTAACCCAAAATATTAGGACTTTTCTGTAAACAAAAAATATTATGACTTTTCTGTAAACAAAAATATTAGGACTTTTCTACAAACAAAACCCTAATTATTATTATTATTATTATTATTATTATTAAAAATATAAATAAGAATACTATTTTTTGAACTTGTTATTATTAATATTGTTACAAATACATATAAATGCATTTAAATGAAAAAATAATATTAATGACATTGTTTAAGGGTGGAGGTGGAGGAGATGGTGATGCTTTTAGCATTGACATCATGAATGTTTGCTTGTATATTTTTACTTTGTATATGGTCATTTTTCATTTGTTATTATTGTTTTCAATTCAGAATAATAATACTTAACAATTTAAAAGAAGTTGTATATTTGTAAAATTGTTTATAAATAGTTTAAGGTAGAAGAATTTCTCACTTTGTATATAAAAATGTTTAAGGTAGAATGATTACTTTCCAAATCCAACAGATCCACTACAAACATCTACAAACCTATATCAAAATTCAAAAGTATTAATTACAATATTTTGTTTAAGATAGAAGGATTACTTTTACGTAAATATTGAGACTTTATCTTTAGAAACTTGAAAACTTATAAATATTATTAGTGCATTTTTTTATAAAACTGTCTAATTCGTTCGTTCATTGATAAAAAAGCAAAACAAAACATGATTACGTTGCATATATATAAATGTATTTTACATAAGTTGATTGTTGACATAAACATATAATATAGATAACTTTGGTGGACTAAAATAGTGTAGTCAGTACATGGTACACTTGTTTCAGCATGATGTACATGTTCTTTTTGTTTTTTTGTATGCAAGTGAAAAAATTAACAAGGGTAGGGAAGTAATAAATGAAGAGTTACTTAGGCACGTGAGGGAGGAGAGGAGAAGAGATGAGGACAGACGATCACGTGCGTCACAGCAGTTTTATCTGCCAACTCGCTTGCCGTCTCGCGTGCGGTCGGTCCCACCCTCCGCCTCCGTCTGTCTTGCAATGGTTGCCGTTCATTAATAACCGTTAGTTGATGTAAACGGCGTTAATGGTAGTAGTCTCCATCCAACTCCAACACCCATGTGGTTACGGATGGCGTTATCCAACGACTTGTTGACAACGCATTCTGATCCCAATTATAAATTTGTATTATGACTATTACTATTTTTATCTATTTTCCAAATATTTATATAAAAACCAAAAAATCAAAATAAATTAATTTAATAGTTGACTTGGATGATTGTTATTATGTGATTTCTCGTTTTGAAAATTGAGAATATATTTGCAAATAGAAAAATAAAATCATATGGAATTGAATTCTAATTTTCATTTCAAGGATGTGAACAAAATGCATAAATCAGGGAGAAGTACATAAATTAGGAATGGGTGCCAACATCAAAAACCCAACTATGATTGAATTTTTTCCAAAATTTTATTATTTAAATCGGATAAGTTTGATCTTGGATTACAATTAAGATCCAAAAAAACAACCGCCCCACGACCATGGGTTAGACGGACTTTTCTTTGTGTACGCAATGTTAAATTGATGGTGTGATATGACTTCCACGTCACAATATTAAATTATTATTACATGTATTTAAAATATTTATAGAAAAGCTTTCACAAAATATTTAAATAAAAACGTTTAAAATATGTTTTAAGATAACTATGTGTTTTTATTGAACTTTTCAATCATTGAAGTCTACAATTTGAATTTCAATGCTTTTAATTATTTATCAATGATATGTTGGTTCATTATAATTGTGTGTAAAATCGGATTGAAATTGTGCGAATTCAGATGGATGCATTCGATAACAAAATGGATGATTGTTGTTAGAAAAAAAAAAAACTACAAAAATGGTCCAAAATTGAATAATTGTTGCTAGAAAAAAAAAACTACAAAATGTTTAATGTGGTATGCATTTTTCTTTCAAGATTTGGTCCACGGCAATTTTTTTGGATTGATGGTCCTTTTGATCATGTTTGTATGTGGTTTTGGTTATGGGTGTTCGTAGTTCGGTTTGAAACTGGTCAAACCGATCATTGGTTTGGTTTTACGTTTTATATATATATATATATATATATATATATATATATATATATATATATATATATATATAGTAACATATCCGAAGAAGTGTTCCACATTAATACTTTTTAAAGCTTGAGATGTCATAACTAATACAAAACATAAGCATAAACGGGTCTTACAGTGATATTCTAGCAGCCTACTAACTCCTTTAATCTCTCAGCAAATAATTATATTATCTATCAGTACCTTCATATCGCTACATGTGATACAAAGAAACTGAGTGGGTCAGGTTGTGAAACCTATTGGGTACATAAGATTTTTAACCCATACTATTATGATCTTTTAATTATATATTATTTTGCATTCAAATTCCCCAATTACCCCATAACCGTTATCCTTATATTTAATCCTAATATGATGATCTCGAAGGATCTTCCTTAAAGGACTTTGGTCCGCATACATCTACATTTCCTAGTTGATTAGGCATGACAATATAATGATATTTTGGATAAGCACAACAGTACAATAGTACTTTGGACAAACACGACAAATGCGACAATACAATAGTACTTTGGATGGGCATGGCGGTACATTTAGTAGTTAGGATGGGCACGGCAGTATGATAATATTTTTGACATAGCACGGTGGTACAATAGTACTTTGGGTATGCACGACAGTACACTAGTACTATAGATAGGCATGACATGTCACGTCTTATTATTTAGCACAACTTTCACTTAACCTATCATAGATACTAATTCACACGGCCCTATCACAACCTCTCATTTATTATTATGTACAACACTTTACTACCCAATCATATTATTAAGTATAATATACGATTAGATCAAGTAACAATCATATCATATTGTACAAATATATTAAACACAACAAAAATAACACACATAACAATTAAGCATTTAGAATACTTGTATCTATGTGTAAGTTGAAATTAACTATGCACTCACCTAACTTAGGTGAATGATTGGTGGTTTCAACAGAACTTCGCCTAACACATTTAGCTTTTCCTTTTTGACGTGACCTAAGTACGAACATTACTAAGTCTAAGGTTTATATTCCTGGTGACTAATGATAGTCTAGGTTCCTCACTAATCCTAATATCTACATCCAGATCTATCAAGTAAGGAATAACCAGGTAGGATCATATCGGAGGTAGGGTCCATTTGATATACAGAGTATACTGTTTGGAAATCGCACTTTAAACACCTCATTAAATCCAGCCTATACATTATCCCCATAAGTAGATCAATTAGTAATATGAATCGGAATCACTGATAAATCTTATTTATAAATTCATAACAACAACTATGAATCTAAATATAAATTACGCTAAAATAATATAGAGTGTAATTTAACATACAACGATTTCCTAGACAAAAGTTCAGAAATTGCACTGACAGAACTCCGGCCTGATAACTACTAGTTGTCGGCCTCTTAGGGATCATAGGGCTTCGCCAGAAACTTAAAAACTAAGGGAAATTTGGACCAAAATCAAGAGGAACTTAAGAGAGAAAGCTAATGGGTATGGAGGAATGAATGAGCCATTGGAGGCTATTTATAGGCGATTTTAAGGGTCCGCGTCGTGCATTTTAAGGTGACGTCTCCCCAACCATTTTGTGCCACATGTCAGCCTCTCTGTGGTCCACGTTTCCATTTTCTAGAAGCGCACGTTACACACCCGGCGTGCATCGCGCGCCGCGCAAAACACAGATTTTGTAAATATCGTAACTGCTTCATACGAGCTCCGTTTTTTGCGTTTTTATATCCCCAGAAAGCTCTCGATTAGATCCACAACTTTCCTTTAGACTCCATCGGTTAATTCTGTCTTTATTTTTCGTCCCTATTTTTTATATGATTAAATCATTTTGCTAAAATCATAACTCTCTGGTACCGACCCCGTTTTTGACATTCTTTTTCTCAAAATTTCTATCTTAAAGAGTATTATAATTTTCCTTTTACCATTTTCTTCGTAGATTTTTACGCCACACATAGAGATGTTAACGGGGGCAAACGAGATAAGGAGTGCATCCCCCTCCCCGTCCCCGAAATTTCACCGTTCCCCCATCCCCGCTCCCGCCCCCAAAATGTCCAACCTTCCTACCCCGCCCCCGCCCCCACTCCCCCTTATTACCCTCGCCCCCGCCCCCGATTGATTTTAGGTTGTCTTTTTTGGGGCTAAAAGAAGTTGTTGTTTGGGCTAAAAGAAGCTATTTTTTAGGTAACAAATAATTATTTATAACAGAATTTTACATGTTAAAAATTATAAAGTTATGACATCTTAGAAACATTATACTAAGAACTTACAAATATGTTTTTTGTTGAATTTTGGAAGCTCAAAATCATGTTATTGTTTATTATATTTATATAATTAATATATATATATATATATATATATATATATATATATATATATTATATATATATATATAATTTCGGGACGGGATTGCCCACTGATGAAACAATGAATCGAGTATTAAATGAATCAGAGTTTAATGATCAAAGTAAGATTGTGAGATTTGAACACAGAT